TTGCAAAAGGAATGAACAGTTACTGTTGTCAAAGTTTAGAAAATATTTGTTGGAATGTGCCGCTTAGCGTTCTTGTTTAGTGATGTAATTCCTAGGAAACTGTTTGCATAAAATGATTGCACTTCATTCGCATCTCATATATGTGTTACCTGTGTTAAAGGAGAAGTTTCTTGTCTAGTGAAATTTCCGCATAGTTTGCTCATTATTCAGCAAGATAATCTTATTCAGACTACAGGAGGTCAATGGCAGATCAAGCGTTTGACTGTCGCTCTATTAACAGAATCGCAGTGCACGCAAACTTAAAAAGATCCCTTTGCCTATCGCCAGCAGTCTAGCACCTAACACCACAGATGGTACTTATTGTCACGTTGAATCTTTTCCTTTGCCTGAGTCAGGCAATGTTTGGTTTTCGGGTATTCTGTAAACTAGCAGAAGTTTAACTAGCCTATCAATGACATTTTTTAGTTTTGCTTATTTTTTCTTTAGTTTGGTCACTGTGCCTCTATTATTAAAAAATGAAATTGGAAACAAATCTTTAGAAACTTTTTCCAATTCTTAAGCTTAACCAACTCTGTATTTGTTCAGTACTCGATGATACTTTTTTGAAAGAGAAATGGCCTATTTAATTTACTGCATTCTAAAAAGTTTGATGACACTTTAATACTTTATTGTGAGAAATTCATTGCTGACCAGACAACTTGCTGCAAATCTAGGTAACTTCTGTAACTGAACGATGCGGACTAGGGACAAGGACGATTGTCAGTGGAAACAGCTAAGTCGCATAACAGTTCCTGGGTGTTTGATGATGACAAATATTAAACTTTATGACGTTTCTGGAAAAAAATGCAGCAGTTTAACAGGTACATTTTGAGTATTTCAAAAGTCGGTTTTTGGGTCATGTCAGTAGTAACAATAAGAATGCAGTATAAAACTGATAACTGTAAAATCAAATTTCTGTAACGGTTTCTCGTTTAACCCTCTTGTATTTTGCATGCTGTTGGCAAAAGTAATTGTTATGTTATAATTAAGCTGGAGGTGTTGAACAATTAAAGTTTATTCCTGTCTATTTTATATTCTGTACAGGGTGAAGTTATTTTGCCTTGCCTATTTAGTGAGTAAGTCATTTGGTTCTACAGTCACATCTACAGTACTCTTAGAATCATGTTTCAAGAGCCATGTAGGTTGAATATTTATAGTTAGAAAGAATTATCACTCCAAACGCTGAAAGGGCACATCAGCAGGGTCAATGTCCGGAAAAAGAGCTGGAGAAAATGATCATAGATTTTTGAAATTGTCAACTGTTAAACAGATACTGATATGTACGTATTATATCTTTTGGGATTCTCTCTATCCTTGCTTTTATTAGTTTTTGGATTTCCTTGTTGGAACTGTGTAATTTTCCTGTTTGCTGCTCGATTTTTTGACATACAATCAATTTTTGTATGGAATACTCGTCGGTGTTTTCAAAACTAATGAAACTTTCTCATCAAAATTTTAGTAAAGTGAAGTGAAGATTTTTTTTTGCAATTACTTCACTACTATTTAGTCCATAATATGTACATTTGCTCATGCTTAGTTATCTGCTCATTTGTTAACTCACATAACTGAATATAAAATTCGGAGTTTCCTAAGTCATGTGAATAGTCTGGAAGAGAAATTTTTTGCTGCAATTGTTTAGTGTGCTGTAATTGTTGGCGATGAGTAGAAAGGCAGGTCGGAAGGAAATTGAGTAAAATTGAGTTATTAATCGAAGGTGAAAGCCAAGTGTGCTAGGAAGAACTCGGTGGTTGAGAACTGTAAAGACACCGGAGACGGACTATACTCGGTCGAAGTAATCGTGTGATGACTACATCTCTTTAATCTGGAAGTGCATTCCTAAGGTCCTTTTGCGGTAACCGAAAAACTAATTTATATAACAGCGAAAGAAAACCGTTTTTTGCACTGGATTTTAGTTTTTTAGAATCATGAACGTTTAACATAATTGAAACTGACCGAATATTGTCATCTATGAAAGATTATAAATTTCTGCGTTTGAAGAGGGACGGAGTGAAATAAGGTTTTCAGGGTGGAAAATTTCTTAAAAAGGTATACCAAAGAATGTTTTGTGTTAAGTGGTATAACCAGTCTGAAGTTAAGATATTCTATTGAAACTATACATTTGAGCGGTTGTAGATGATGAGAGTGCTGCTTAAACGTAAAATATTGGAAGTGATAAGCGCGTGCAGCCATAACCTTAAAAAACTTATAATTTGAAAACCTTGTAATATATCTGTGCATAATATAGTGAAGTAGTACCAAATAATTTTACTGTAGAAAAAAGGCGAAGTTTCAGAAGTTGAATTTGTTAAAGGAAAACAGTTTGTTATCAGTAAGTCGGTTAAAAAAGCACGTATATTAGGAGGAAAATGTATAGATAATAAACGGCTCAGCTATCCTTATTCAAAGCAGTATTCAAAAGGCGAAACTCTTAAAGCAAATGTAAGTTTCTTTATTTTGTTTTCAGGTAGTTTACGTTTACTTTGAGTCTCGGTAGGTTTTGGTAGATTAAATAGTCCTCATTTGATGGTATTTAGGGAAATTTGTCGTTACAAGAGTTTCGTCGCGTTCAACATTATCTAATTCGGTCGTTGATGAGTGCTTCTGAAAACGAAAATGATAATTTTGACTACGCTAAAATAGCTGTAAGTTAAATTAGTGTTCGCTACCCTGTTCTGTTTTACTGCTATTCGATTTTAAGAAGATGCCAAGTGCTACTATTTTCGATCCCGATGATTCGCTACTGGAGATTTTGCATTCGGATAAAAGTCCTAGTGCACAAAATCCCCTTCCAAAAAAAGCTTGTTTAGTTCCGCGTCAAAAAGAAGATGTGCAAAAGTTGTCTCTCTCTCCAGAATCGTGTTACAGGAGGAGGTTGGTTGATATTTATTTATGAATCTTTGCTGATACTGGTATATTTTTATCAATGTCAAAAGTTTTTCCAAATTGTTTTTTTTATATTATTGATTTAGAGTTCTCAAAAAAATTGTTTAACTAGGAAATATTTGTGTCTTTTATAAACAGCAAAAAAGATAAAAGTGTCTTTTCTAGATCTTTTCTTTAGTTTTTCCATATACTAAGAAGTGTCTATCAAAAACGAAGAGCAACATAGGAAACTTATATCTTAAAATAAAGATGAAACGAAGAACTTGTTTTACAGTTCCAGTGCTGTTTAAAGCTTCTTTTCAACTTTTTTTTTTTGATAATAATCTCGATATCATTGAAAACCTAGCAATTTTAGAGTTAAAATCTTGCCCTATTTGTACAGAGCATTAAGAACTCAAAAACCGCGCTTCCTTGGTGCACTGAAGGCAGTGATCCCGACTGCGTGAGTGGAAACGAAGCGTATTACTTCAAATCCAGACAGTAATTCAGCTTAAAAGTTGTCAAAAAAAAGAGGTTTTTTAGAATTAAAGTGCAAATCATATGCACTGTAATATATAATTGTAACGTAAACTTTGGTCACTTTGACGTTGGTTTCATTGGGATTAATTTGGTACCAAAAACTGGCTAATCTGCTTACAATTTCGTGAACAGACACTTTTGTTCCTTTTGGTGATTTCGTACCTACATCTTATTACGTCGTGTCCACAAAACCTTCTTAAGGGATTGTGCATACACTTTATTGTAGGTAAACATTATGGAATTGGAAAAATCGATGGGATATTCGTCTTGCTGTTTAAAGTGCTCTGAGTTTATTAATGGCAAAAAAAAAAAAATTAGTTTTTGTATTGAATCGTCCTCTGACTTGTATTAAAAGTATTGTGCCTGTTATTCCTCTATTCGTGTTTCATAGTTGAAGATAACTGTTAACTTTGTCATACTCCAGTCTGTAATTTAACCGCTAATTCTTTGACTTTCTATATCGGACATAAGCGGGCAAACTGTCGTTAAGTGCGTTACTCAACGGCAGTACCTGATTGTTTCTGACTTAATTAACTCCATGCTTACACAGATGTATTGTCTTTAAGCCCTCTACTAATGCCTTATTTCAGATAATCTGATGTAAACACTGTAAACATTTTGAACAAATCAGTTGTATGCTAATCCTGAAAAAAGCTATAATAATTGCAGTTTCAACAAGCTGAGTCGCACTTCTGATTATGAAGAAATAGTAGGAACTTTTTACACTCCTCAAATACCGACTGTGCAGCAATAAGATTACGTTCCTGTTCCGCATAGACATAACTAGATGCGCTGGGTAAAACCTCATGGAGGGGTCGTGTTATGACAGTACGCATCAGAGTGAGGGCCACCAAACATCAACACCGATTCATTCCTGTAGGGGCGCTCTCGATAGAATGGCGGTGGTCATCTTAATAAAGAGAGCATCATAAACATGGGTGGTCAGCACTAAAAGCGGGGCATAGTTTGTCTTAAAAGGTTCATTGGTGGTCCCCCGGTCATGGTTTTCTATGCTTGGCTGGCAACTGGTTCTCCCCAGCTTCTGCCTTCTGCACTTTTTTTAATTTATAGACACATCTTTAAGTTAAAAATTTATTTCAAAGTATCAGTTCTGGTTCAGTTTATTCGGTTTTGCTTTGTTCTGTTTCATTGACTTCAAGTTTGTATTAATTCTGTTGGGCCCTAGTAATCTTCATCTTTCATTTTAAATTTTAAATTTCAAATCATAGGTTTATCTTTGCGCTCAACAACTGTATTATAAGAGTTTGCATGTCAAATAAAAGATTACTCCACAATAGTTAGTGCTTCTTAAAAATTATCCACGATCGATACTCAGAACAACTCAAATAATTTCTCATTTTCTGCCAGTATTCATTTAGAAAAGTCAACAATAGCAGTCGTGGCCGTTTCTTGGAGGGAGAATATGGAGCAGATTAAGAATTAATTGGAGCGTCAAGCAATAATCGAAGTAAACACAACGAGAAAACTTACAGTACCTGTCAATTCTTCAACATGCATCAGCAACCTAAGCTCTCTTTTTTACTACTTTGCCCACGCTGTGGTACCCTGCATAATTTTAACTTTTGCAAGGAGTTTGTAGCATAAGACATTCGCCTGAGTAATACGGATACTGATTTCGCGGTGGTCTCTATGCGTAACTTTCAGCAGTCTGGCAGTATGTCACAGCGGCCTTATTGCTACTCTTGTTTCCATTTTTACTTGGCTGGTAACTATGCCGGTATTGGCAATTTGGGTACACTACTTACACCGCAGTCAAACTGATGGATTTCTCAGATAATGATAAGTCAGCTGGTATAGTTCAGAAAAAACATCAGTTGCAAGCAATATAAATGACACGGTAAGGGCAGCCTGAATCGTTCACTTCTGTAAAGGTTACCTTTCCCCTAAAGGGTTCCCCTAAATCGTTCACATCTATAATAAAGCATAAGCAGCACTGAAAAGTGCTATGGATGAAGAAAAAAATATAAAATCTCAAAAGTCCACTCATTACCGACCGCATCTTAGGCAGCCACTACCAAAAGTCTTGTCGGAGCTAGTGACCTACTACAATCGAATATTCCGGTGCTTTTGTGCTTCGGCAAGCTGGAAAACTGCCAATAGCGCTGGGAGTTACGCGGGAAAACAACGGTTGTAATAAATTATTGGTTGATATTGAGCTGTATTATGTGTGCTAGTTTCGAAAAATAAATATTTTTATACTTTTGGCTTATTACCACTGCGAAATACTTTATCTTTTCAGCTGAATTAGTTTTGAAATTCGATTATATGTTGCATTTTTACCATTTCTAAATTCCGTTTAGACTGTTGTTTTGGTATATGTAGAACATTGTGTTTTTTTTTCTTTGGAGGAGGAGGGGTTGGCATGGTCTCTTTTTGTTGTTCATTTCGTTTAATCTTGCTTCAGATGAATTGTCGCTGATGTTATCAAAATGGACGTTACTGCCAGACGTCTTATTTGGATTACTGGGCCAAAGCTGCAAATTGAAATTTCCTGTTTTTGTAAATGATTGTTTTTGGTTTCAGACGAAAAGTATGAGTAGTGAAGGTGGCGATTTTTATTTACGCTACTACGTTGGACACAAGGGAAAATTCGGACACGAATTTCTGGAATTTGAGTTTAGGCCAGATGGCAAATTGCGATATGCAAACAATAGCCAGTACAAGAACGATACATTAATTCGTAAAGAGGCTTATGTTTCAAAAATAGTACTGGATGAGTTGAAGCGCATTATTGAGGACTCTGAAATCATGCAAGTATGTTTTTCCTGCAATTTATAGTCAGAATTGTAATACATACATGAACTTGGTTTTTGGTGACACCGCGTTACTTGTTATAGAAATACTTTTTTAACTGCTGCTGCAAGTGTTTTTTGCAGTTTGTGGAAGGAGTTGATGTTTTTGAAAACCAGAAAAAAAAACCATCTTAGACTCTATGTCTTCGTTATGGTTGTGGTACTTAGCTGTCACCTTACTTTTCACTCTGTTACTTCCCGCCGAAAGCGTAATTTTTAGGAAGATGATTCGAACTGGCCGGAACCAGATCGGGTAGGCCGACAAGAGCTTGAAATACTTCACAAAGATGAACACATATCGTTTACCACAAGGTTGGTCCTTGTTTTATTGAAGAATTAGCATCACATTTCTGTTTTCCGTTGTAACGTTGGAGTCATTCTTTCTTACATTTAATGAGTGTACTTGCTATGTAGAACTTCTTCAGCTAAGTTCCTGAAACATTTTGGCAATTTTAATGTGTTTCATTCTCCAAGATAAACCTCACGTTTTTCAGCAAAATTGGCTCAGTTGCTGATGTAAACAGTAGTAAAGATCCCGATGGACTGCGGTCGTTCTATTACTTGGTGCAAGATCTCAAATGTTTAGTGTTCTCATTAATAGGAATGCACTTCAAAATTAAGCCCATTTAAACTCTTCTATTACATTATGTTACATATAATGTTGTTTTTTCCACATCTTGTTTTTCAAAATTGTAAATGTTGCGAAAGAAAGTTTGGCATCTCGACATCTTTTTGAAAACTATCATTAAACTGTTGTTTTTATGGTAAACGTTTTATTTCTTGCTGAAGGGATCTAGTTTTCTTATTTTATGATACTCTCTTTGACGTCAAGAAGTATAATCTGTGAAAGTGACGGTAAATAATAATAAGTTGACTGAATTTGAACTAATGTTCACGAGCTTACATGCTTCGCACTTACGATTTCAGATGGGAGTTAAGTGGTTTAAATTCTTCGAGCACGCAGAAATTTTACTTCCTTTCTCACCACTTGTTTTTGTCAGAGCATTTTACTGCAGGATGCTGTAGTGATTGGATTGCCGAACTACAGGAAGCGACTTCTTCAGTTCACCGATAGGACTGACTGGAAGGAAGCTTCAAGGAGATGTAGCACATTTGTACAACAGAAGTGTTTCTTCCCGCACTATTATTGAGCTGTGGGAGCACCCGGTGGTTGTAATCCTGAAGCCACCTTGCTTTCGTAGTGCGACAAGACCATTGTTGAAATGCTCTAGGTCTTCTGTTTGGGGCATACTGTGGGGTCGAGAGCTTTTATGTATTCCTCGAGTTTTGATGGCTTTTACGTTACTGGCGCTGCAACTGTTAGTGCAAGCTGACATAAGCGAGTGCTAAGAAACAAGGACCATGATGTTTGGAAGTATGGGCAACTATTCACACAAGAACTTTACTAGAGGGAACAAATTATTTACACAAATGAACTTTATTCCTGAAGTCGAGAAAAAAAAAGGTGGAGGTTGGAGTACCTCATCACATTGTAAAGCACATCGTTTTAAGTCTGCAGCTTGCTAGTGAGGCTTACTAATGATACAAAAGAATAGCAGCAGGTTCCTAACGACAGTGATGTTAAGGAAGTCCTTATGAGGAGGAGAAGAACAATTGAGAGTATGATAAAAGCGAGAACGGTTGTATAAAGAAATTGTGATGGTTATTCAGAAGAGTTTGGGTTACACGGGGAACCTGGTGGTGTGAGTGACGTGAGCTTTCCCTTCTTTCCTTCTTGAAGTGCCGGGAATATAAAATAATCTCTTTGCCGCTTCTTTGATCGATGTTTGAAATCCCTGGTGCTTTTCCTAAAAGCTGGTGCTGAGTGTTAGGCTCTTTTTTTTGGCAACTCTTAAGATTCTGGACAAATTCTGTTGCTTAAAACACCGTTGAGTTATTGAAAAATATTGTAAAACTCCATCAAAACGGCAATGGTATTTACTTTTTTACTACGCTTCTCTGTGGATAACGTGCAATGCGCAGATGAGCTACGAGCAACTGTTGGGATGTCTTGCTTAAAAGTTTGGAGTGGTTTGCATAGTATATAGTCACCTTCATCCTCGGGCAACAATACCGGATGCCTAAGAGGCAAAGAATTGGTTCCTTTATTCCGCAGTAGGTCTCGTGGTGTTGTGCTGACCTGGTGAAAAATAAAAGAAATATACGGTAAAATTACAAAAGCCTATCAATTTGAACGAATAGTTCAAAAATCAAAACTTCAATAAGCTGGAGAGTACTATACCAAACACAATTTCAATTCAGCCTTTGCTTCCTGTGAAGCTTTCTGATTTTCCAAAAGGGAATTTTGAACGTCTTCTTTTAATTTAGCAAAGTTCTCCCTGATAAACTTTACAGCACCAAGAAGTTGTGAAAACTGGAGTGCACTTCCGGAACAATCACAAATAAAATATTTAGCTTGTCCTCTTAATTCCTAAAATGATTTATTACTGTTCTTGAATGCTTTTAGAAGCGCAGAGAGGAAAATAAAGTTTTCAGTAGCAGCCAGAAACGTGAATAAAATCATTTTTCAAAATGCAAGATTTCTTCCCAAATCTTCAAATTACTGATTACCTGAATGCTTCTTTCTGCCCTGGCCAATTTGGCTGAGAGCTCGTGAGCGCGACTGTTAACTGTCGCCAAACTTTCTTCATACAGGTGGTCCTAAAATTTAATTTCAATACAGTAATTTACTATTAACATTCATTACTCAATGCCTACCGCATTTTAAAAAAGTGTGGACCTTTTCATGTGCCATTTCTTTTTCCACCAAAAGTATCCGTCGTGTTTCCGATAATTGAGTCTCTAATTCTTCTATTTTAGTAAAAGCAGCGTTTTCCTTCCGAATAGCTTTTGCTTTCTCCAGTAACATCTCCTTTAACAGGAACCTTTGTGAAGAAATCCACATGGGCTCAGTGTAAAAATATCTAGACCAAAGTAAAGCTAGTGGGGTTGTTAGCAAGAGACAAAAAAGAAATAAAAGACCTCTGACAAATTTTCACTTCGTAGTGGGAGTTAAGGATAATACTCAAGAGTCCTGGGCAAAAAATCCACATTTTGATTTAGTAAGACAAATCATTTCATCCGAATGATTTCAGAAGTAAATTTTACCGCTTCTACAGCTTCCATGTCACCAGTCATACGAGTAAGAGATTTACTTTGCTCTTTAACGCGGCACTGCAGTACTTCAACTTCTCTTTGTAAATTAATATTAACACTTTCAAGTGTATCCACCCACACCTAAAAAATTCTACAGTTTGAGTGCTCACATAAAAAAAGATTTATTACTTTCAGCAATTTTTAAAAGTGACTGTTAAAGGCAACTACAGCAGCAGGTGAACCTTTGCAGCTTCAAACCGCCTTTCCTTCTCTGCAACGACACCCTTCAACTTCTTTATTTCTACTTCGTTCATATCAACACGATCTTGCAGTGCATCGTTCTTTTCCTCTAAGACTTCAGCTGATCGACTCCCAAGTGAAGAAGCATTAAGCCTGTCTAATAACCTAAAAAATATTTGAAAGTGAAATTTTTCAGCACTTTGTGCATATAAATCTTAAACTTGCTTAGTCTCACTTCTGAAAGGTACCATTCAATAAAAAAGAAAAGGACAAAGTGACGGAAAATTGGGAAACAACCTTGCATTTTGAAATTTAAGATCAGATACAACATTTTCCAGTTCATCATTTCTCACTTCTAGGGTATTCAACTCTTCTTGTAACTCCTAGAAATCAAGTAGATCAGCTGAACTGGAAAGAAACCAGTGACTATGAATTAGTTCTCGAAACGGTCGATGACTGTAGAAACATTAGTTGACTTACGTCTATTTTTCTGTCTTTCGCTCGTAACTGCAGAAAAAACCGCATATGCGGTGAAGGGATAGTTCCTGTCGTTTCGTTTATTTCCATTTAGCAAAGTCGAAAAAAACGAAGCTGAAAAAGAGCTGGATGATAATCCTCTAACATTGAGCCCGGGTACATTAGATCAAGCAGCCTTCTGTCAGCTTGAATTACAGTTCCATTAAACTCCATTTTACGCTAACTCGCTCCTGACAGAATTATCATAGAACCAGTTCTGAAATCATGTCTCCATCGAGCCAACGACGATAAAATAGTCGACAATCATTTGTAGCAGAACGATTATAATTAGAGCAACAAAAATGTCAAGAAAAGCAGGTAAAATATGAGACCACCATAAAGATTAGGACGCAATCATATTTCAGAAAATATCACCGCCATAGATTCTAGTCCAACTTTCTAGCGGGAAATCTCGACCGAAATAATCAGCTGCACCTCGTCAAGCGAATAGTTAATGAAATTCTACGGAACACATTTTGAACATTGGCCGACAGGTAATTTGAAGATTTGCCCAATTCCACGAACGTGATCTGCGCTAAGGTGCTGTTCATAGACCACTGTTATTGGAAGTCAAACGCCTATCAGAGACTTTACAAATAGGGACGATGACATCATCCAAACACCATGCCACAAATTACCTCAAAGGATTACGCCATAAAGGCTTTTTTCTGCCTAGGCCAACACGTTTGATTTGATACTGCTCACGATTGCCTCATCTGAAGCAGATTCAGCTGTCACTGTTATTGTCTGATTATTTTTTCTATGTTGATCAGTATACTGTAGATGAAATTAATCATCACTGAGCTCCTGGTGCTCTAAAATATCACCGTTTCTAAAATTCATTGTTGGCAACCAACTAAGATTGTATATTCAAGGGTCATACCTTTGAGCTGTTTCGACTTTGAACGCATTTTTTGCTTACATAAAACGGTGGAACAAATGACTTGATAAATCCTTAGAACTATGCAGATATCCCGATTAGGACTCTTGCAGAATATTCCTTCCTCGGAATACTGTTTGCTCTTAAATTATGCTCTAAAGTTATGAATATAAAGTTCTGTTGAAATAGGTTCCCATATTTTACAATGTGTTTTCACAGCAAAATCTAAATAATTGTGAGCTGTGACCAAGATGCAAAATCATAGCGAATAGCAACAAATGAAGAATGGAACTTAGTTGTCAACAACAGCAATAGTCATTTCAGTGAAGGAATGAAAGTCATGGATGTAAGGTATTAAATAAAGCAAACAAGCTTCTTATCAAGATTACTGTAGGATCACCCAGTTTTTTGTTGTAATTTCCTAGCTTTAACTAAGTGCTCCAGAAACTGGCTGTACTAATGATAGAACTTCCTAAATAAATTATTATTTGCAAAGATCAATTCAAAAGACTGCTTCTGAAACAATTTTTCAGAATACTGCACCTTCTTAATTGATTCTTAAGTTTCTAAACTATTTTTAAAACTCGAATTTTTTAGAGGACAGCTGGAGGAAGGAAGGATGAAGAGGATGAACGATATTTTAAATTTACATTGAGATTTGAATTGTCATTCTTCGTCGTCGATGGGGAGGCAGGAGTTGAGCGAAGAGACGGCTTCTTTTTTCAGAAATTCTGTTCTTTAATTCTGAGAAGGAACTTACCCAAAAGCCATCAAGAATCAGAGGAAACCTTGCAATCGACTATTGCCATTGCCTGTCCAGGAATCAGATCTGTGTACTTCTCCCACTGAATGTTGCTACTGATTAAAGAAAAGCTTGTTATTAGCCTTAAAAACTGTGAAAGACGATGAATGACATTACACTTGTATTATTGCTTTGGAAGTGTCTCGCATGATTTCGCTGAGTTGGTTTATCGTTGAAGTGAATTACAACATTTTTGAAACATACTCGTTGACAAAAATTGACTCAATTTTTCTGATAGCTTTTTCAAACTGTTTAGTGTTTCCAGTGATTAAAAAAAATCTCTGCAGTAAGAGATACTGTGCAGAACTTTTGAGCTTGTGTCGTTACTAAAAACAATTCTGTTTTAACCTAAAAAAGTATTGGAAGTAAATCGATAAAGAAATTAGTATAAATATGGCTTGTGACTAATGTTTATGTTATATTTACTAGCAAACACTACAAACGTACCATCAACATTTTAAAGTTGTGATGTAAGATTATATTGTCATTAAAAAAAAACCAAAAATAGCGTTTTATTAAAGATTCAGCTAAGATGTGGGTAATAAGTAAAGATGACTAATCACGAAGTAATGTACTCAAGTATTTCAAGGAAGTTTGCTGGTTAAACAGCTTTTTAGACATTAAAAGCAAAAAAGCACACTGAAAAGGCACTTTGTAATAATTAAATAAATTAATAAGCAAAGGAACTTGTCTCTAATCTACTTAAATAACAGTCTAATAAATACATTGGCACTACCTCATTCACTGATTATCCTCTAGTATTATTTGATTTATACGCGAAGTCTATCGTTTTTTACCAAAAACTGCTCAAACTGTTTGTTTTTAAAAGGCAACAAACTGGTAAGGAACAGTTTTTCTAACCTATCAACTAATGTCTGCCAATAGTTATAACAGAAAATAATTTGTTTTTGAGGCCTCAATGCTTTGGAATAACTAACCGGGTCTTCTGTAATGTTTGTTTTTGTTCAAAAATAAGATTCTAAAACTGATTTGATATTTATGCGCAATAATTTGAGTATGTGTTGAGTTGCTTTATTGGTGATTGCCAATCTTTGCCTTTTGTTCTTAATAGATTATTACAACTTCACCTCAGTTTGTAATTATTTTTCAGATTATAAGCTACATGAATCAGCAAATTTAGTCTACAACAAAGCAGTAGCTACGATCGTTTTTTGATATAAAAATTCATGATTTTAGACATTAAAGATTTGCTGTTTACAAGCTTTACACTACATAATCTTTTCCCGCAATGAATAAGCTAAAGGTAAAGCTGCAATTGGTAGGAAAAAGTTTTGGAGCATAAAGTTGAAGCAGCAAAACTTTATGTCTAAATATGTTAACTTTTTGTTTATTTTTTTTAGTCTTGAATAGTATTTCTTCACAGTAATTGCCCTTAACAACGTTCAGGAAAAGAACAAGTTACTGCAAAAATATTTCTCTAAACCGTGATCATTTCTTTAAACTTGCAATAAACCAGTCTTACTGTATAAGTAGGTAATTGATTGACATTTAAGACTCTTCAGCTTTTTTCCAAACACTCATTTTCAATATCAGTAATAATCTGATTTAAAAATTATATGTTTGAAGCACTGAGGAACCTGCGGTGTTGGTAACTCATTATTTATTGCAATTCGATAGGTTTATAAAATATTCATTGCTATAACTGTTTTATTTTTCTCATTGCACTTAGGTGCCGGCCAAGTGTTTGATATGGAACTGTAAATTCTGAAGTCATACTATGTGCATTCTTTTCTGGATTAACCTGAACGATTATCTTCAAATTGTGATTGTCAAAACGACGAGGCGGTTTGCTGGAAAGACCCCTAATTTTGAAAAGTCTATTATCTCTGTCATAAGTATGTTGTTCAGCTGTTTGTTTTTGACAAACAAAACATCATATGTAACTGATTTGGAGATATGTTTTCACGGTAAGGTGCTCATTCATATGCGCTAATAAAACACAGTGGGTGATTTGGCAACGTAGATTACAGAATCCCAGTAAACCAGTTGTTGTTTTGTAGGTCTCTATTTACCAATTTATTATCCTCGCTTGAGATATATTATATTTCTGATAAGCATAGATTGAAAGAGTATTACAAGTGCTGTTAGATACATATTCATCGATGTACAGTTCTTTTTTTTTTTTTTTTTTTTTTTTTTTTTTTT